CAGACAGTCCTCTTAACCTTGAAGCCATCTCTCCAGCCTTCAGATTGCCTTCTTACAGCACCCAGACCCACTAGCCCAGGGGTGGTACCACCACTAGTGATGTGGTCCCTCTCACATCAATCATAAGTCAAGAAAATGCCTCCACAGGCTTATCCACAGACCCATCTACTGAGGCATTTTCTATTCATTCATTCAAGGTTCCCTATTCAAAAGTGACTGTAGCTTGTGTCAAGTTGTCATCAAACTAGCTGGCACAGCTATCTGTGCTTGAATAGCAAGGCTTCAAGCTGCTGTGGGGTCTTAAGAAGTGGAATAATGTTCTAGTCTTGCTTTGTATGTCTAAAATCTGTAACAGGACATATAAAATCCTGACAGTGTTGCCAAGATTTAGGCAGTCGTACACTAGAGCCTCCATTGCTAGGCTCAGGCTGTGTCACATCCTCACCTCTGCTTCTTCCTAGAATGGGCTGGTGCTGATGCTGGGGGTAAACAGTGCTGTGTGTTGTAGTAAGGATGGCAGAGAGTAGAATATGGGAATAACTTTATAGACTAAGCATTGCAGATTTGTGGAGCCACTCCCAGATAACAGAGTGGCCTGAGGCCACTTCTTCACATGCTTTACTGGGGGGCGGGGGAGGGGAGTGGGAATCAAATCCTGTGAAGAGGAAGGTGACAAAATAGAAAGGAGAATGTAGATTAGAAGGTGAGTGAGAAAGCTGACCACTGCAGATGACAAGTGAAGCTGATTTCTGGGTCTCAAAGGATGTCTGCAGAGAGATGTTATGGAGTGATTACATCTCCCTTCCTGGGTTCCAAGGAAGGGGTCATCATCTGGCCTGCTGTCCAGTTGATCAACACTTGCTTCATAGGCTTTTACTCCCCCATACTTCCAAGTTGCGTCATCTGGTCCCGACATCACCTGTTGGAGAGGCTATCTTGAAGACAGCCGCTGAAGCATCTGCAGCAAAAACTAGGGCTTCAGGATGAGTCAGTGAGTAGGTGTGGGTGAGTGGCCTTTCCCACATCCCTGCATGAAGCTTGCAATCCTGGGATTTTGGCCAGTGGGTTCTGTGGCATCACTTAGCTCCAAACCCACAGCTTCTCAGGTACCAAGGGCAGGTGAAATGTTCAAGTCAGTTGCTGTTCTGTCTTTTTATTATTTTTTAAACCATTTTATCTTTTTCTCTCCCAAGCCTACATATATTTTGGAACACACTGTAAACCTTTAGAGGTTTTCTTAATGTGAATCTGTCTTTACTGTAAATCTTTATCTTTTTGTAGCCACAAGTTTTTTATCTGGTAAACAACAACATTGCTAAAATGAAAGTCATAGCTGTGGTGTTAGCAGCGGTTTACCAAAGATGGCGGCGGCTATTTTACTGCCAGCACTGAGAGCTGTGTTCACTGTCTTGGTCTATGCTGCCATCCAGCCGCATGTTGCCGGCTTAGAGATGTGATCACTACCATTGCCAGCTCTTGTACACACCAATAAATTGTTAGCAGTGCTTTTTTAAAGTGGTGCGGTTTTTTGCCGCTTATGCTGAGTCAAGAAACTTTCCTTAAAGGAGCCGCAGAAATCTTTGCTTGTCTCACGCAAAACAGAGTCCAACCCAGAAAAACGCTGTTAGTAAGAAGCCTTGCTTGTTTCTGTTCTGTTGTTTCTAAAACCCCTTTTTAAGCTTTTGTTAAATTTTAAGTGGAAGTTCTTATTAGCCACGACAACTAACTCCCAGATCTCAATGATTTAAAATAACAGATTTATTTTCCACTTACATAGGGGGTTAGCAAGAGATTCACTTACATAGGGGGTTAGCACATTCCCATCACACTGGAACCAACTCTAACAGAACAGCTGCCATCTCAAATGTCATTGGTCACCTTGCCAGAAGGAAAATATAGCTCCTAAGAGAGTCACATTGGCAATTAAATACATCCTGGAAGGGTGCATCGCTTCTGAGCTGGTTGGTCAGACCACCCAAACACAAGGGGACCTGGATCACTACAAAGGGCATGTGCTGTTCATCTGGCTTTGTTAAAAATGTCCTTGAATACAAATCTTTCGTTTTTGCTGTATTTTCTCCAAATGTTTTATGAGGGATGTACATAGTGAGAGGCATACATGCAGGTAAAACACCCATATGCATATGATGTAAACAATTTTAGAAGCTTTTATAGGAAAATTGTTGAGATAGATAGTAAATAGAGCACCCCCCCCAAGACAAAGTTCCTCTGTGTAGCTTTGGAGTCTGTACTGAAACTCTCCTCTAGACCAATCTGGCCTTGAACTCACAGAAATCCACCTGCCTCTGCCTCCAGAATGCTGGGATTAAAGGCGTGCATCACCACCACTGCCTGGCCACACTGGAGTTTTAGATTTTGGCCCTCAGATCCTTCTTTGTCACTTTGATGCTTTTCTCTATTGTTGGTCTTTCAGCCTTGGATTTCACAGCTTCTAGAATTGGTTCAAATCTCTGTCCTTTACAAACCACTTAGTCTCAGATGTTCTGTTACACATCTGAAAATGGAATAAGAACATGAAGGTGACTCCCTCTTCTTAGAAATCCTTCCGTTCAAAGTCTTTTCTCCCTTTCAGTGAAGAAAATAAATCAGTGTATACACTCTATAGCCTCCTCTCCTCCTCCTTCCCTCCTCCATTCCTCCCCTCTCTCCCTCTCTTCTTATCCCCTCCCCTCCTATCCTTGCCTCTCCCATCTCCAACCCCACTCCTCTCTTCATTCCTCAGCATTCTTTCTTTTCTTCCTTTCCTATTTCGAAAGTCCAATTTTAATAAATGTGTCATGAGTGTTCACCACAGAAGACTGCTTGGCCATGTGTTTAAGCTGGAGACTACACTGGGTGCTTGGTATCCCAACAGAGCCTTCCTCCGGGTAAGCTTTTAAGTACAAAAATTATCTCCTGGGTTGACACACTTCAGTTACCAAGGACAGTAATTCAGAAGTGGAACTACAGAAGCCAAAAGGCTAGGTCAGAACATTTAGAGACTTTCCCAGAACTACGGACTTCGATGGGTTAGGCCTTTGCTTTAGCTTTCACAGGTGGTTCTGTCTACATGCTGAGTTTTACACTCTGAATAGTACTTCCATCGTGGAGTTAGTTATGCTAAAAACTCAGGACCAACTAAGGTCTAGGGCCCTGTTACAATTAGTCTATAGTAGTATTGGAATAAAATATTAACTTCATTCTCATTTTATACTGTTATTACTTACAGGTACTGGACTGACTGTGGGAACCCTGCTATAGCTTCGTGTTTTGAAATCTTGTGTATGTCCACTTGTTAGGGACTGTCATTTGTCTTAAAATGTTTTAATTGTCAGGTTTTCTTTTTCATAACTGTGACAAATATTTGAAAAAAAACCCAACTTAGATGATGAAAGATTATTTAGGTTCATGTTTAGAACAGTAGTTCTCAACCTTCCAATGCTATAACCCTTCAATACAGTTCCTCATGTTGTGGTGACCCCCCAGCCATAAATTAATTTTTTCATGTTTATTTTAATTTATTTTTATTTTACATATAGATCCCTGTTCTCTCTCCCTCCCTCTTTCCCTCTCTCCCAACCTCTCATGCCCCCCACCCTCCTCCCCTCCCACCCCCCCACATGTAGGGTGATGCCTTTCAGGAGGGGTCATCTAAATCTATCAAATCATTAGGAGTAGGGACTAGGCCTTCTCTCCTGTCTCTAGGTTAAGGGAGTATCACTCCATGGGGGATGTGCCCCCAAAATCTTTCTGTGCACCAGGGATACATCCTGGTTCCACTGTTCCAGGTCCCTTAGACTGCCCAGGCCTTCTAGCTGAAACTGATATTCAGGGGGTCTGAGTTGGTCCAATGCTGGATTCCCAGCTATCAGTCTGGGGGCACTTTAGTTCTTCCTTGTTCAGGTCAGCTGTCTCTATGTGTTTCTGCAGCATGGTCTTGTCCTCCCTCTCTGCATCTGGATTCCAGTTTGGCTCAGTGTTTAGCTGTGGGTGTTTGCTTGTTTCCATCATCTACTAGATTAGGGCTCCATGATGCTGGATAAATTAGTTGTCGATCTCATTATCAGGGAAGGGTATTTATGGTAGCCTTTCCACTGTTGTTCAAATTGTTAGTTGAAGTCAGTCTTATAGGTCTCTGGACATTTCTCTAGGTTCAGATTTCTATTTAAACCTATAATGGCTCCCTGTTTTATGGTCTCTCTCTCAATCTCTCTCTCTCTCTCTCTCTCTCTCTCTCTCTCTCTCTCTCTCTTCGGCTATTCCTTCACTGACTCAATCTTCCTAGTCCCACATGCTTTCCTCTCCTCCTAGTTTTCTCTTCCTCCTAGTTCCCTCTCCACTCACATCACCCCCTTCCCCATATGCTCAGGAGATCTTGTCCCTTTCCCCTTCTGTGAGGGACCTTGGAATCCTCCTTGTATCCTGGTTTCTCTGGAGGTGTGAATTATAGGCTGGTGATCCTTTGCTCTGTGTGTAAAATCCATATATGAGTGAGTACATACCATGTTCCTCTTTTTGTGACTGGGTTACCTCATTCAGGATGGTTTCTGCAAGTGCCATCCACTTGCCTGCAAATTTCAAGATACCATTATTTTTTCCAGCAGAGTAGTATTCCATTGTGTAAATGTGCCACATCTTCTTTATCTATTCTTCAGTTGAGGGGCATCTAGGTTGCTTCCAGGTTCTTGCTATTATAAATAATGCTGCTATGAACATAGTTGAGCACATGTCTTTGTTGCATGGATGTGGATCATTTGGGTATATGCCTAAGAGGGGGATTGCTGGGTCTTATGGTAGACTGGTTCCCATTTTCCTGAGGAACCGCCATACTGATCTCCAAAATGGCTGTACGAGTTTGCACTCCCACCAGCAGTGGAGGAGTGTTCCCCTTTCTCCACATCCTCTCCAGCATGAGTCATCATTGGTGTTTCTTTTTCTTTTTCTTTTCTTTTTTTAAAGTATAAGTCCCATTTATTTTTCCAAGGTGTTTTTTACTTCTGTCTTCACAAAGCCATCTCTTTACATGGGTTTTGGAGGAGGTCGTGGCGCAGCACCAGCAGGTCTAAATCGTGGCGGGGGTGTTCGGTCCTTCCGGGCTTCTCGAGATCGATTCCTGACTACTTTGCTATGGATGGCACAGCTCAACCAGTAGTGCAGCTTTACATAGAGCTTGGGAAGCACGTAGGCGTCGAAGACGCTTGCTTTGGATATGTCCCTGACCGCAGCGGCCTCCACAATGTTGCGGATGACGAACTTCTTAATGGCCTTGTCCTTGCGCACGCACCGGGCGCAGTTCGTGCAGCGAATGGGCTGCACGTGGCCGTGGCCCTTCTTGGCATGACCATTGTTCCTCCTTTTTTTGGTCATCTTGGAGCCAAGACCCAAAAAGAGCCATCATTGGTGTTTCTAATTTTAGCCATTCTGTTAGGAATAAGATGGTATCTCAAAGTTGTTTTGACTTGCATTTCTCTGATAGCTAAGGATGTTGAGCACTTTCTTAAGTGTCTTTCAGTCTTTTTGCTTTCCTCTAATGAGAGTTCTCTATTCAGTTTTGTACCCCATTTTTTAAATAGGGTTATTTGGTGTTTTGTTGACTAGTTTATTGAGTTCTTTGTATATTTTGGAGATCAGCCCTCTGTCAGATGTAGGATTGGTGAAGATCTTTTCCCAGACTGTGGGCTGCCGTTGGTCTTGTCAACTGTGTCCTTTGCCTTATAGAAGCTTCTCAGTTTGAGGAAGTCCCATTTATTAATTGTTGCTCTCAGTGTCTGTGCCCCTGGAGTTATGTTCAGGAAGCGGTCTCCTATACCAATTTGTTCAAGGGTACCTTCCGCTTTCTCTTCTAAGTGGTTCAGTGTGGCTGGATTTATGTTGAGGTCTTTGATCCATTTGGACTTGAGTTTTGCATGCAATAGACATGGGTCTATCTGCTGTCTTCTACACACCATCATCCAGTGTGCCAGCACCATTTGTTGAAGATGCTTTCCTCCTTCCATTGTATAGTTTTAGCTGTTTTGTCAAAAAATCAGGTGTTCATAGATGTGTGGGTTAATATCAGGATTTTCTATTCCATTCCATTGGTCTACCTGTCTATTTTTGTGCCAATACCAGGCTGTTTTCAGGACTATAGCTCTATAGTAGAGCTTGAAGTCAGAGATGGTGATGCCTCCTGAACTTCCTTTAATGTATAGGGTTGTTTTGGCTATTCTGGGTCTTTTGTTTTTCCATATAAAGTTGATTATTAACCTTTCAAGGTCAGTGAAGAATTGTGGTGGGATTTTAATGGGGATTGCATTGAATCTGTAGATTGCTTTTGGCAAGATTGTCATTTTTACTATATTTATCCTACCTATCCAAGAGCATGGGAGATCTTTCCATTTTCTGGTATCTTCTTTAATTTCTTTTTTTAAAGTCATAAAGTTCTTATTATATAGGTCTTTCACTTGTTTGGTAAGTGTTACCCCAAGATACTTTATGTTGTTTGTGGCTATTGTAAAGGGTGATGTTTCTCTGATTTCTTTCTCAGCCCCTTTATCATCTGTATATATTAGGGCTACTGATTTTTTTTTTTGAGTTTATCTTGTATCCTGCTAGTTTTCTGAAGGTGTTTATCAGCTGTAGGAGTTCCCTGGTAGAGTTTTTTGGGTCGCTTATGTAAACTACCATATCATCGGCAAATAGTGACAATTTGACTTCTTCCTTTCCAATTTGTATCCCCTTGATCTCCTTTTGTTGTCTTATTGTTTTAGCTAGAACTTCAAGTATAATATTGAAGTGATATGGAGAGAGAGGGAAGCCTTGTGTTGTTCCTGATTTGAAAGGAATCGCTTTAAGCGATTCAGTTTGATGTTGGCTGTTGGTTTACTGTTTAGGTATGTTCCTGTTAATCTCCTGATCTCTCCAAGACCTTTATAATGAAGGGGTGCTGAATTTTGTCAAAGGCTTTTTCAGCATCTAGGGAGATGATCATGTGGTTTTTCTTTTTCAGTTTGTTTATATGGTAGATCATGTTGATAGATTTTCATATGTTAAACCATCCCTGCCACCCAAGGATGAAGCCTACTTGGTTATGGTGGATGATTTCTCAGATGTATTCTTGAATTCGGTTTGCCAGTATTTTATTGAAAACTTTTGAATAATGTTCATGAGGGATATTGGTCTGTAGTTTTCTTTCTTAGTTGTGTCTTTGTCTGGCTTGGGTACCAAGGTAATTGTGGCCTCGTAAAAAGAGTTTGGTAATGAACCTTTCATTTCTATTGTGTGGAACAATTTGAGGAGTATTGGTATTAGCTCTTCCTTGTATTTCTGGTAGAAATCTGCACTGAAGCCATCTGGCTTTTTTTTTTTTTTTTTTGGAAGGCTTTTGATGACTTCTATTTCATTAGGGGTTATATAGGTCTATTTAAGTTGTTTATCTCTGTTCTTGATTTAATTTTGGTAAGTGATAGTTATCCAGAAATTTGTTCATTTCCTTTGAATTTTCAAATTTTGTGGAGTACAGGTTTTCAAAGTATGACCTGAAAATTGTCTGGATTTTCTCAGTGCCTGTTGTTATGCCCCCCTTTTCATTTCTGATTTTGTTAATTTGCATGCTCTCTCTGTGTTTTTTGGTTAGTTTGGATAAAGGTTTGTCTATCTTGTTGATTTTCTCGAAAAACCAACTTTTTGTTGCATTGATTTTTTTTGTATTGTTTTCCTGGTCTCTCCTCAGTCAGGGACCGGGCAATGGGGGTCAAAGATCAGGCTCCAACAGAGGCCCGATGATGACTGTCAAAGATCCGGCAGGTAGTGACACAGGATAGTCCCGTGGGGATAGGCTGATCTCTGGCCAGGGTCCAGAACTCAGGCAGAGGACCTCTAACAGGGGCCCGGTGATGGGGATCCCCATAAATTAATTTTTTTGCTACTTCATAACTATAATTTTGCTACTGTTGTGAACTGCAATGTAAATATCTGATATGCAAATCTGTAAAAGAGTTGTTAGACACCCTTCCCCAATGGAGCCATGACCCACAAATTGAGAGCTGCTGGTTTAGGAGGTTTGGGTCTATGATAGACTGGGTTTGTTGCTTTTAGGCCTTCAGCAAGGCAGAAAAGCAATAGATGACATAGAGAAAGCAAGCTGTTTATCCCATGGCAGTTAGAGAGAGGAAAAAAAAATTCATAGGAAGAACCAGGGTCAAGATTCACTCTTCAAAGGCAAATTTCCATAATCCACTTCCTCCTACCAGGACCTGCTTTCCATAGTTCTACCACCTCTACAAAGTCTGTTCAAATCTTCAACCCATCAGTGAATTAAACCATGTATTAGGTCAGAGTCCCCATGAGCTAATTATGCTTCTAAATGCTATCACAGACACACCCAGGGTGTGTTTTACTGATCCCCTAGGTGTCTTTTAATTCAAGCAAGATCACAATTACAATTAATCACCACACATTATCAGAGAAGTGTAAAGAAATGTAACAGACACTCAAGGGCCCTTTTCCTGAAGATTCAGCTCTGTGTAGGACATTTTCATGAACTGGACCCTTACTTCAAACTTACTACAGCCAAGGTCTATCAGAGATTCTAAAACAGCTGACCCACTACCTGCCAAAGCCATCAGTGTAATGATTCCTTGAAGAAAAGCATCTAACAAAGTCAGTATAATCTACTGAAGCAAATTTGTAGACAAGGAAGGCAAGCTTTGGAATGCCATGAACTCTGTAATCTACCCTCCTTCTCTCTCTCTCCTCATCTATCTATCTATCTATCTATCTATCTATCTATCTATCTATCTATCATTTATCAGTAGGTCATACACAAGAGACTAGAAGAGACATATGTCACCCCTTCCAACAGACTGCTGTTTTATGGAAGCTTGAGGATGTCTATGCATTAGTGACTGTGGGTAGAGAAGGGCCATGGGTTTTCATGGCAGGATGAAGGGCTTGAAGGGGCAGCACTGCTCATCAGAGTAAGAAGCAGCCCAGAAAAACCTCATGGCATGCATTGTATATGAAAGGGTTACAAGGGAAGCCCAGAGAATGACTCCTATCCTAGAACCTGGAAATTTTTAGTTGGCAGAGGAGAAGCTTGATTCTAAGTACATGTAAGTTGTCTTCCTGGTTAAGAGTGAGGGCAGGCATAGGATGGTTGGGATGTTTGTACGAGCTAGAAAGAGTAAGGAAAACATAGATTATTAATATGTGACCCAGAGAATCCTGTAGAGCCCTGGAAAGAATCATAGTTGACAAAGAATGCAAATGTCCTCTAGGCCAGCATACACTCCAATGCAGAAGTCTTTTCTCTAGCATTGTTAGAAGACTTCTGATAGAGGAGCAAAGGGACACCCACAATCTTTAAAAGCCTGTTGCAGTGACGGTCTATAGTTCCTTAGTTATTTTTTGTGGTAGCAGTAAAATACCTTGACTTTGGTTCACAATTCTGGAAATAGATCCCATAACTGAGAGACCACACCCTCCACTCACAGCAGGAAGCAGGTAGCAAACTGAAATGGTGATGCTGTAAACTCTCAAATTCTGCCCACAGTGATCTGCTCCCACTAGCAAGTCTTCACCTTCAAAAGTCTACAACCTTCTCAAACAGTGCCACCAGCCAGGGACCAAGCCTTGCAATATGTGAGCCTATGGGAGACACTGTTCATTCAAACCCCTACAGACAAGACTGTTTCTTTAGAAATGGCTGGGGGGGGGGGAAGGAAAAAGAAAAAGACCCAACCTCAGATGCACTAAAAATATACAAACATACTTCAATTTATTAACTAGCAATGTAAACTTGGACTCACAAAAAGAAAATATAACTTTAGACATATCCATATTTAAATTCATGAAAATAAGTCACATATTTGTGTATGAATATATACAGTTAAGGCAGTAAGATTTAACTAAAGCTATGCATAATATATTTGGAAGGATTGCTATTGGACTCCTGATAGAAACAGTGAGCTGTTGCAACAGAAAATGTCCAGAACTTTAACCAGGAAAAGCTTGTGTTTTACTAGCTGGAAGTCCAACATGGGTCCTCACATCTTTTCCTTCTAAGCTGTAGAGGGACCTACCTTTCCTTATTTTGCAGCTATACTGAATTTATCAGTGGGTTTTAGGTTTTCTTCCCACCTATGGGTGGGAAGAGGCACAGGCTTATGTGTAGGAGGTTTGCATTGGTTAAGTCTGCACACAACTCCTTGGCTAGAACTCATTCTCAGGACACATGGAACTGCAATGACCTTGTTGAAAAAGACCAGCTGAGTGGGGCATTGAAGTACACACTCTTGATCCCAGCACTCAGGGTGGACAGGTGGACCTCTGAGAGTTTGAGGTTAATAGTAGGGACACCATAAATCTCAACCAAGCAATAATAACAA